ATCTCTTCTCTCATTTGCTGTCTGTTTGTTTGACTTATTACTGAATTTGCTCAAATATGAATAGTAAGATTACGATTTTAGTCTGACTTTGAACATGTTCGAGGTATTTCACTTGAGTGTGAATATAGGAAGTACGCTCAATCACATTTTATTGGGTTTTATGGATCTGATCAATGTGGAATGTGTTAGTGTGTGATGACTAGATGTCTAATAAACTCAGAATTCTGTGAGGTGTGATAGAGCAAACTGATGTTCTCATTTATCATCCTCAGTCTTGTAGCAAGGTGTAATCGTCTGATACTTGTATGCATATATTGACTCTGTATATATGGCCAAATGAAACCAGTTTTCATCTCTGATGTTACGGAACCTAAATTATGTTCAAATAATCTGACGGTCATATCCTCAGCATATTTTCGTTTGGCATATTTGGAAATTCTAATCTTTATGACGATTTCGATCATGTATATTCTGAGGTGATAAAGTTACCTCTGCGCTATTGTCATCTATAATTTTTTCCGTTACTTTCAGCTCATTGGAAAATGCCACGTTTTTATGCATCGTATGAGAATTCCCAGTATACCACCGAAAGGTTACAGCATACCCCTTCACGTTTCTACATTTGGGTAAGATGAAAATGGATTGATGAGTGAGTAATTTTATTCTTAGATCACAATAGATACACTCATTATGGCACTGGTGACAGCTTGTTTCGTCCTCTTATTTACCTTCGTGTAAGACTAGATAAACTATTATGATGAAACATCATCTTGATTGTAGGCCAGTAATTCGCAATTTCTTCAAAAATGATCGTTGGATAATCTTTACCATTTTGTAAGTTCTCTGTTCAACATTATTTATCGAATGTTCGATTGAATTCTTCGCACCTTGACAAGTGGAATTCATTTGTGATACAGAGCAGTAATCCACTTCACAGCACACTCGATTACTAAATTAGTATTTACTGAATTGTCAGGAATAGGGGAGTCTCAATTTATTACCATGCGAGTAGAAGTGGTTGGATAATTTTCTTTTGTATGCATAGTTCTGGTTCCACCAACTGCATGGCTAGAGCTTTGCATCGCAGAAGCTCTCAATTTATATCAAGGCCTAAAGGTCTGGGAGAGTCTGGCGCTAATATGTATTATATCATCCATTAGACATTTTGCTAATAAGGTTGAATTTCACTGAAGTGAGTAATTAAGCTCCAAGGATAGATATAAAAACAATTGGTTCATACAATAATCACTGGAATGCATTTTTGAGAGCAGAGTATTTGTAGAAACACGATCGCAGAAAATTTGTAACACGGAAGTCTCCAGCAATAGTGGACATCACAATAATCAATACCATATGTCAAGAATCCTAGTAAAGTTTCGTCATGAATATTATTCATATGGTGACATGATGCAAACCATTTGTCAAGATTTTATTCGATAATTTCGCTAAAACTTCTGATCAGCTGATATTTCAACGTAACGAAAAGTCATATTTGTAAAAATGATTATTGATACATAATTCAAACCTCTCACTCAACAGATTGGAAATGATGGAAGGTGAATTGTCTAAGGTATAATTAATGAGGTGCATTTGGGCCCTAATATAGTTCACAAAATCAATACAAGCAGTTCAGCGTAGAGTATCTTTTCAATTAATTCGTTTTCTTTAATTGAATGGTCGCATTAAGAAGGATCCATCCGTTGGCAACTTACATGGAACGATTAAACTGAACGGAGAAAAAGGGAAGGATGGTCACAAGATGGGTGGTCATATTAATGAGCGCATATAAGAAGTTGAATAAAGTCGACAGAAATACATAGTAAGATATGAAAGTTAGTATGTAACTTTTGATATGCATGCACATGGAAACAAAGGGAATACTATGTTCCATTCACGAACAACGACATCTTCTGCAGACAAAATTATTGGATTTCAGTGAGATCTCACTTTGCTTCGTTGCTAGCAGCCTGTTTCATGACAAGTCACAGGAATGGTCCACGTAAGTTAAATATTGATAGGTTTCCATTGTGTCCTGGATATGTGGATGACATTTTCATTAACCCTGATGATAGTCATGATCACAATTACTAGTGTTACACATGTTCAACAGCTGTAGTCCACCAACAAGGCTCACTGTTTCAGTAGATGAATCTTCACTTCCTTTTCATGAGGTTGAATTTACACGAAGAACCTACGGGTCATTGGGAGGATCGGTCAGTAAGAGAACCACATTGAACAGCCAACTGATAAGTTTCTCCAGCTGAATACCAAATGACCGTGAATAGAATCTAAATATTTCTCTAGCCACTCACGTCCCACACATCTGCAGCTCAAATGCTCTAGAAGAAGAATTAGAGCTTTCAGAAAGAAATCTTCCAAAATGGACATACACCGAGGCTTATTGTCGAGAAGGTCAAGCCAAAAATTCAAAGGCTGAACATGGAATCTGTGCAAGATACGAAAGCTAAGATGAACTTTGACTTTTACGGCAACCTAATTGTTGACGTTCTTAGGAGAGGAATTCCGGTTTCAGCGAGGAGAACTTTCTTCACAGAAACGATAAGCCTGCTGTTCGTCAGTTGGCCACTCGTATGAAGGATCCTAAAGGACGAGATCTCACATCGGACCACTTCTATGTGCACACGTCAGTTCACCTGTTCTTGTGGAGCCAGATTTGTGCATCGTTCAACGCGATCTTATTGTTTTCAGTCAAATATGTTTGATTACTTCATCAAAAAGAGACCCTACATGGAACTGCTTGTACTGATTTTGTCAGCGATATTAGGGCCCAGATGCACCTTGTTATTCACAGGTTAGATGCTTTCTCTCCCACTATTTCCAATCTGTCGAGTGAGAGGTTGGAATTATTTGTCAATTATTATTTCTACAAAAATGACTTTTTCGTACTTTGAGATATCAGCTGATCAGAAGTTTTAGCGAAATTATCGAATAAAATCTTGACAAATGGTTTGCATCATGTCACCATATGAATAATATTCATGACGAAACTTTAGTAGGATTCTTGACACATGATATTGATTATTGTGATGTCCATGACTACTGAAGACTTCTGCGTTACTAGTGTTCTGTGAAACGGTTTCCAGATATAGTGTACTCAATAAACGTCTTCTCAGTGATTATTTATTTAATCATTTGCTTTGATCTTAGTGAATCGTTGTCTCATCTTGATAACCACGTCTGATTATGTTCAGACATGCACTGGGAAGTTTTGTATTTTATTTGACGGTCAGTAGAACTAGCCACACAGGACCAAGTTTATATATAAACAACCATGGAGGAGGCCTGATTTGTTAGTTTACACTTTCCGCATTCGTCGGACTACTGACGACATGACAGTGGGTCAGCCTAAGTCAGTTTACAACCAATTTCAACCTTCTGTGGCTTACTTCGACTCCAGGTAATAGTTGTTCAGCTAAGTAATTCGTTAACTTCAGTCACTTTAGTGACAAAGAGATTCGCCGAATAATAATGACAATGATAACTGGGGTATCTGTCCGAATGTCTTCGCTTTCTGATGATATTAGGTTTTTGTCTATCATCTGGTTGTCGTCAGACAAACCAGTTAAGAAACATCAGTTATGTGGGAAAACGGCTCAACATATTTCTGAAGCTTAAAACTGTTTGGTATGTTGTTTATCAGTTGAAGATTTTCATCTGGGACTCTACATTTAATGATGTCCAAAAGTGTTATCTCCATTACTTGGACGATCAGAGCATCTCACAATTGCAGCTGTTTCCAATGAGTGGATGCACAGATTGGTCAGTGAGGGAGATACTGGTTGTTCCATAACAATACTATCTGTTTCACGTGAGAAATCTCCTCTATATTTGAACACTGTTTGATTTGAACACACTTCTAATGAATTCATAATTTCTCCTGTGCCTGAAAGACATCGAACGCATAGTCCACTGCATGAAATTTGTGAATGAAGAATGCTGGGAAATATCTCATCTCATCCAATATAAATTGATGCAGTTCTGCTCTTAGATTCATACAAATTCTATACTCAGTATATGGCTTGCATTTCATTTAGTTTCGGTATTCAAGGAGTGTATGTTGAGAGGTTGTGTGTTACAGAGTTAGTAGGTAATACAGCTAGACGTTATGGATGATCTTGTTTGTAAATATTTTGAAATTCATAAAATCCTCGCTGATGGAAACATTTTGGTGCAAGTTATCTCTGCAGTGACACTTCGATTTCTTCGTTTAACAACTCGGACATTTTGCTTGTTTCAGCTTTTAATCTGTGCAAACTGTCCCTTCACTCTTTCTCGTCATCTATTTCTCAGAATTCACTGCTACGGTTTTCCATGAATATTTTCTCACCCTGATGAGGTTGAAATAATTTATCTGAGTTCTGTTGTGTTTTCGGCGACTAAAATTCAGTCAAATATTGATCATAATTTGTATAGGAACAACTTTTCTTCTACCGATCATAAAATATTTTCGATTCCACAACAACCTTAACTAAGTTCGCTTTGTCTAACCTTAAGTTAAATTATCCCCTTTTAAAGGGCTCATGAGAAAGGGAAAATTTTCAAACCCAGCAGTCTCTTCTGACTTGCTTTCATATTCCCATGTCATTTGTGAACCGCATGCGACGAGTTGTTTTCACTCATTTGTCGACTCAGCAGAGAGGTTTAGCCAGGAACCGTAACATTTATGTTTTCCGTTGCTTAGAAAACGGTGAGGTTTACTATATCATCAAATCAGAGATTTCCGCCTACGGTGAAAAAGAACGAGTGATGGCATGAAGCACTGCGCCAATGAAGAGTTTGACAAATGCGAAATTGACGTCGCAAACGAAGAATGGCATCAATATACCAAGACCATCACACTGAAAACCCTTTCTATTCAAAATGCAACTTCTGCATACTTGATTATTATGAACTGTGATGCACCAAACAAAATAACGCACAATTCTGATTAACTGTGTAGTATCTGAAACAAATTTTTGATGTTTGTGAATTTATTTCAGAGGAGTCGGTTTCCTTGTGCTCCTGATATTCTTATTCGTGGAAAAAATTCGATCGCGACGAGTTGGTGTCTATGTCATGCTTTCAATTGTGGTAAGTGTCACATTATAAGCCATACAAGAAATTTTGAGGATGTAGGCTAACTTGATTTTGACTGAATGGATGTCATTTGGCGTGGTATTTGAATGGGTCTATACTCACTACTACCTCGTCAAAGTGATCATCGCTGTGATTCACATCACACATCACTTTCATTATTTCACTTATTGGCGATGTGACAACGACTGGATGGTTTTACTACTTGCGCATGAGAAAGGACCTGAAAGCTGAGGCAGGTTGTCTCTTAGATACTCGTAAATGTGGAAACGTAAATCCAGCTGTTGCATAAACAGGAGGTGCGCACTGAGGGACAGCTTGAAGGAATGAATAAACTGGGGGTCTCGAAATGTTCATTCTGCATGACTCACAATAAGAGTTTTGATGACTCTCTTCATTAGATAATTCACTGAAGAAACCACATGACCTGGCATAGGACAATCGACGGTCTACTTCATTCTAACAGTCGAAGCAACAGACATCTTAAACAGACTCGTGAGAAATCAGATGAAGCGTTTTCCGAACTGCTGTAGGCTTACTCATCCTAGTAGTCAGGCGGTAATTAGTCGGCCCATGCAGCTAACTGCATTGTAGGATGACCCATAGTTCACAGAATGACAGTGACTTCGAACGAATCGTTTATTTGTGATTGATTGTGAGTGATGAGAATGTGGCTTATCTGATTGTCCATACAGGGTTGAGAATTTACTGCATTTCAGTAGTCATTGTAAATATGTGTGTTTATATATGTGTATGCATATATCCAGTGTGATCACATGTTCTCATTTCGCTTTCTCCTTTGTCATAGATCGCACTATTGTCTGTGCTGTTGGCTGCTCTTTTGTCACCTGTTGGACTGAAAGCTGGACTCATATCTCTCGCCTGTATACTTGTGGTGGAAATTCCAATAGTTGTGACGGCTATGCTCTTGCCTCAAATGAATCTGAAGGGGCTGATAGTGTTTAACTCAGTGGCAGGGACTTTTGCGATTGTGGGAGTCACCTTGAACGTTTTCTATGTGTTCTTCAAACAACAAGTAATTGCATAAATTAGTGTCTATAATGCATAAATTATTTGTATGTTATTTGTCAAAGCTTATGAAATCTCCGCTTCATTCAGAAATATCCCACTGCATCTGAATTCCAGTATTAATTCCACAATTTGGAATCTCATTTGATTCCTCCAGTGAGGAAAAGCGAACCAGGAACGACAAATATTATACGATGAGATGACGTCACCTCGTGAATGAAACGAGGAAGAGATTTGATAAGGAATTAGTTCGCGCTTTAAGCCAGACAGATATGTGTCGCACGATCTACTGTCACTTGCTAGTGTATATAAAGATCCTGGACAAGGGGAAACTATTATGCGGTTCTTTCCACCGAAACTTTTGTGCCTTATAAGAATATTGTTCATACTAAGACTAAGGTTGCTCTTATTATTTCACAGTCTCTTCTATAATGGCTACAGCCTCAACAGTACGAGAGTATCAATCACATGGAAGATTTCAAAATACTCCTATTGCGGTGACAAGGAACAATTGATGGGAGTACCATTGACGAATTACTCGAATGCGGAATCTTATATTAAGAGAATATTAGGAGAAGCCTGGCAAAAGAAACCTTCATTGCTCCAGTTTCCTTAGGCAGTCTCCATTCAGCAAAAATAGCCAGTGGTAGACCTTGAACTATCCTGCCCACTAAACTTACAAAACGAAGTATAAGAATGTCAATCATGTCATGAATTCTCCACTGACGCCTCTCGTTCACTCCAGAAGATTACACTTTCTCATTTCAAAGTCAGTCTGATTACTTCTGACCTGCTGGTTTATGTTAGGTCATTTTCACTAGTTAGGAAACCAATTGCATCCTCATTTTCGTGCATGTCAAATATTGTTTACATTTGAATGAGCTAACAGTGACTATTGAGCATATTTAACAGCCTACATCATTCCGGGATAATGTCAGTAATAGTTCCCATCCACAACTGTTTATCATCGCTTCACAACTACATGAAATCTTCCGTATACTCCATACTTTTGGATTCATCAGGTTTCAGCCAGCTGAGTGTAAGGCGTGAAACGATAAAGAATGGCATCATTTCATCCCGGTACATTTGTCGTTCAGGCTGTCTAATCAAATTCTATATTTTGATTGGAAGAGTGATGAGCAACTTGATATATTTGCACTAAACCCTGTCTACAGTCAATTTCTTTGCCTTGCATATGTATGGAATATAGCTCGTTTGGCAACATTTCTCTGGTGTGACTGTCACATTCCACGGAATATATATTGGACTAACAGAGATGTGACTGTAGTCGAAGTGGCCTAGTGAATAATCACATTTCTGTTGTCAGATAAAAATGTGAAGTGATGCAGTAGTTGTTTATATTGATTGAATGGCATATATTCGTATATTTCAGCGTTACCGCATACAGCCAGTGTCACTGACAGGTGTGATTCAACTGTCAGCATATTTTCGTAGTAGTCAATGTTCACAGATCTCAGATCAGCAGATATGTCAATGTTGTAATTTGCATAGATTAACAAAGCATGTGAGTGTACCTCTTCCCTCATGATTTATTTCTTTCTCCTCGTACTTTCCACGCAGATAATTGTCTTACTGGCAGAGGCTTTCTGTATATTATTCATACTCTTCGTAAGTTTGTCATTTTATCATTTTATCGGTGTATCAACCATGTTTATTTTGACGAGTAATTTACACGATTCACATCAGTTATTTGATAGTCGCAGAATTCCAATGTGAATCACAGTATAGCTGAGTCGATTTGTGTTCATTTTACATCACTAAGCAAGTGAACACATCCACGATATTCGAGGGTGTATTTCCAGTGAAGATGACGTTGTACAATGTTGCACTTCACGGATCGCTAAACTTATGCCAAAATCCAGCTTTTTTACTGGAGTGCAGATGTCACGATTCGAATTTATGCGAATCGTATATAATTCGACAACCCACTCCTAGTGATTGTCGTATATGAATTCGGGTTGTGTGTGTGTGTGTGTGTGTAGGAAATGGCTGGATTATTAAACAGCTTGTATTATTTAGATTGGATGCTATTTGTCAATGATTTCATAGTCCCTCACCAGCCTTACGCACTTACATTTAGAAATTTCGAACAACCTCACTGTGCATGTGAGACTGACAATAGTGAAATGAATGAAAACACACTTGACCCATCATTCTGAATTCGGAATCAGCTTTGAGGTGTGAACCGAATTTCTATTACAGTATTGACAACAAACTGACATTAGTCTCAATTTATCACCAATCCATGAGTCTGGTAGTGGTTCTGTAATAAAGTTGTCTAATTGGTTAGAGGATAAAGGATAATATTATCTAAGCAAACTGAGACGGTATGTTAAACTGAAAGTGATACATATCACCAGATACACATCTGGAAGACTGAAATTCTTCGACAAGTAATTCTTATCAAACTACCACCAACGTTTATTACAAAACCAAGTCTAGAATCATCTGCTCATGTTTGATCTGGAAGGCAACAGTGAAAGTGTAGAGAATTCTTCATTGGTTCAGGTGTCTATATCTCATCATATGAAAACAATCTTATCACATTAGCTAGATTATTATAATTTATTTAATATGGTGAAATATGAATTGATGTACAGTTGAGATGATCGCCTGTATTCACTCATCTCTGTCAAGAATCTTTCTCTTTCTCTACATTGTAGTTTTTATTCATTTGTGTCGATAATTATGACCTGATCGGTTGGTGGGTGGATTTCATTGCCGTGGAATTTACCATAGCGTTCGTCATTTGGTCTTGTACGGTCAGCATGTTCGGCATTCTCGAAAGTACTTTGGCATGGTTCTTCAAAGAAACAAAATACACGGCTAATTTGTAAAATTCTTCTTCCAGCTTATTTTGTTGGTAGACAGTTGAATAAAACGATGTCACTCATCTTCTTTTTTATTCTGATTTTTGTGATTTCTAGTTCCTCTTCATGACGAAATGTTAATCATTGTTTCTATTTCTCATAAGAAGTGTGTTCTGTAATAAGAAAACAAACCGTCTTAGACGCTGGGAAAAACAAACAAAATATTCCTGTAAGCATCAACACCTTCAAATATTCACTGTTTTTCAAACTGACGTACACTTCAACATTTCTGAGAAGGCGAGGAAGAAGAAGAGTAATACAGTGGTCGAAAGACGATTTACCTTTTCTGAATACAATAAATATCTTGTCAGTGATTACATTTTATTGTGAGAGCGGTCATCCAATTTTCAGCCTAGCATACCACAAGCATAAGTGAGTGCCTCAATCGATCTACGTTGTCAGAGAAATATGTTCTATTGAGAGACTCACACTTTCATACAATTTTGGAAGAGAGATACATAGTTGTGAAAGGTTTCAGTGGAGCGCGAATGTGTCACCTGAATGCATATGCTTGAAAAGTTCACCAATCAGTTGGGTATACGAATAATAATTCATTAGTGATATTTTGTAGGCTTTCGAACTCAATGAAGTATTACAAATGATATGAGTAGTCTCGTGTGTGTGTGTGTGTGCGACACCATAGACGATAAATTTTGTGTTTGACAATGAATGACTCAGGCCAATGAAGATGTTCGCAATGTGTCTATGTGAATTCATTTGGCTGCAGACAGGATATTGCAGAGATATAAGGATGATATCAGTAGCATCAGAATTCTACTATATCTGACATGTTAAACGGTTCGTATGTGCTTGTATCACATGAAATCATTGTTCTGTACAGATACGACAATTCTCCTCTCTCACAGATAATCCCCGAATGAAGTAATTGTCAAATGGGTGTACGTATGAGGATGGAAATAATATGAAGGATTTCAGTCTTGATGTGACAAACAATTACATATGGCAGATATCTCCACGGAATTTGAGGGTGGGTGGCTATGTGATGACGAAATCAGAAACAGCACTCCAGGGAATTGGATGGTGAAGTGAAAATGATCTTCCTCTCATAAGTATTCTGTTTTTGAACTAGTTCAGAACATCCCCTGTCAAATGGCGAATTTAAAGTTATTCCAGTTAGTAATCTCAGTTAGTAATCTCACTAGTTTGATTGTTGGATGTATCACAAAGTGGAATAGTTTCATCGACTGAGTGACGTCTCGAACACATCAATTATAATCACACGACTTCGAAACTCGATTTGTATATTCTCACTGTCTTCTACCCTGTTTGTTGTAAGGTTGGTTAATAGAATTCTCCAGATGTCTCGGATAGGTGTCGAGTCAATCGTACTGAGCCAGTTCTGGGTTGATTACTTGAATAAAGTATCAGGTCTCCACCTCCAAACTGTAATACCAAATATAATTAGTAGCACTTTATCGCATTGTAATGTTTGGTTGTATGTGACTCTACGTGATACCACAGCTGAGCATTTTTCAAAATAACTAATTTCATTAACTAATGAACTAAAATATTCATTTTGGTATGCGTCTATGGAGTAACGAAAAGTAAACTGGATATGATCAAAGTCAGAATGAAAATCATCACATGAGTACTCCTCCTTAAGTGAGCAACTAAGAAGTGAGATGTAGCTGAAATCTACTTACTGGTTGTAGCTACTAGTTTCGAGATTCGCTGCTTCTGAGAATATTCACATGTATTTTCACATAAATATTTCGATTTCATTGATTATGACCGACACAATTACACATATTGAGAGATCGTAGTCCATTCTGATTCTCAAATTGATTCCACTCCACATGAAATGACTTTTGTCACATAATCGTCGTATTATGTATGTTGTTCTCATGTGGTTGTTTGTATGCAGATATGTATGTAACACAGGGTAATAGTAAGTACACTTAGTTATCTTCGAGTTCTTTCATTTGCAGTAAACTATCTTCCTACTTCTAGAAGGCTATTAACCGAATGACGATGCATACTTCAAATGAAGAAATTTAGTTCAGTTAAAATGATGCGATTGATTCGCTGTTTGTTTGAAGGTTTTTAAAACATGACTACGTTCTTTGCATCTAATGCTTTAATCGAGAAGCCATTATTAAATTTACAGAAAACGTCATCTGAGTTAAATCCCGTAGGTGTCTCATGTATCTGTCTTTATTGATTGAGATGAATAATGGGATGAAAACAGTCATTGTTATCGGCGAATTTTTCTAACGAAATATCCTTTCAGGAATTCGAATGCCCCAGATGGACTGACAATAATTATTCCATTTCAGATAGATATTGTGGGTTGATTATCTGCCTTGTCGAATGATCTCAACAAAACTGTGAAAACAACTGCGAGTCAGTTTCATCATGGATCATTGGATCGGGTCCCAGTGGCTAAATGTTCTACGAGCCCGCCATGTAACCAGAATGTCTTGTATTCCAACCTCGGTGGGTGCGTACTGTTGAAGAGTACCATCCAGTACTCCTCGATTTTCCACTGGTTCTCTAACCTTTGTCAGATCATGATTAAAACTCCCATCCGAATTCATCTTTTTCACAGGCTTTTAATCGTCTTTATCCCACAACCTGATGAAATTAGAGAGGAAAAGAGCTTGAAACTTAGCAGAGATATCTTTTTGAGTGATTTCATTCTCAATAGTGGGACAATTGCATTTCTATGGATAAGCTGGAAGAGCTATAATCACAATTTAATTCAAGAGACTGACAAATAGACATCAAGTGGGATAATAACTGCCCAATTAAAATTAAGATGCTCAGTTCAACGTGTTTCTACACGTACTCTGATCACATATGTCTTCGATGAAATGTAGCTCATATATTTTTTTATTTTGATTTACAGCTTGATTTCACACCGTATTTTCAGTACAAGTGTGGAATTTTCAGCATGGATATCGGTAGCCCAAATTCAGGCCGACCATAGATATCGGGTGTGCGCCGGCAGGGGATCGAACCCCGGACCATGTGCATGGTCGGCGAGAGTCCTAACCACTGTACCACCGGCTACTTTCCTAATCCTGAATTCTTCTGATCCGACCTATTTTATTAACTGAAAATTCAAAATAAACTTAGACAATATGGGAACTCAAGCACAAAATCATGATCGTATAGCTTTCGAGACAACTTGGAAGCAGAATTGGATCTTCTGAATGAAACCTCCATCCTAAATGGGTACCCGCCAAGATTCATCGACAAGAATATCAAACCAAAAGACCAGAAGAACGAACATCACTTGTTCCAAAAGAGATAATTTACATGAATCTGGATTTCAAGAGGGACTCAGTTTGGCTGGGATGTACTCAACAGAAGAATTTCAGAATCTTCGAAAACAACATTCTTCGCAGCAACACTATGTGTAGTGCACTTCAGTTGTACATTGAACTTCAGAAGTTTTAAGGACACGATCTCTCTTCTGGTCGCTTCTGTGTGCATATATCAGTTCACCTGTTGCTGTGCAGCCAAACAGGTACATTGGTAATTCGACGTATACTCTGTCCAAAAGGGTTAATGAACATTATCCTACAGCATGACTACATGATGGTAATGGTGGCTGTGTAAGGTGTGCGATCATCGAACATCTCGACAACACTGGTCATTTCATCTCACCAAACCCCTCCTGCTTCAAAGTGATCTACAAAGTGAAGAACAACCTACCAAAGACAATACGCTTACGTCTCGTTTGTATTGCTGAAGCCTTAGTCATTCATTCAGTTGAAGTAGGCAGAGATGTGTATACAAAAGAAATCACCCAACCACTTCTACTATCATGGTAACAAACGTGTCGCCTTCTACTGACTTCATGTTTGTGTGCTTGTTGGTTCTCTTCTCTAACTCCTCATAACATTTGTGATTTTTAAAAAGAACTCTTACATAATTTCATATTTTCCTTTGTTTATATGTGCATCCTAATCACTACTCACTCAGTAAACTATTCATCTTATTACGTTGATGTATTATCCTTATTCAACTTCTTTTATGCGTTGATAAACGTTGATAACTACGTATTTTGACAACACATCACCAGCACTCTCTTACTGACCTTCACCACGCCAGTTCTTTCTAGAGTGAGGCGTAGGTCGTGCTTCTCTGGCGGCTTGATAAAGTAGCCAGTCTTCCTTCCAAACCGTTTACAGTAATGGCATGAGAATATCTGGCATGGCTCCGTTTTCACTGCTTCGTGGTGAGGGAATTCTGTCCGCTCCTCCTGCATTCGCGGACTTCAGTAGCATGATTGCATTCAGGATTTCTGCTTTTGTTGGAAGATTGGTGTCCACTGGCAGGCAGTTTAGTGCGCGCTGTTGTTGTTTGTATTTCTGGGAGGTTACGGATGATGATCGATTCAAGTGTGCTTTAAAGTTATCAACCCACTGTTTTATTTATTTCTCCTCCTTACTAATCAGTTTCCCCCAACCATCTTTTATTGGTTTCATCATCCCAGTTGATCTCTTCTTATTTGGAGACCTGGTTTTCTGATATAATGTTCTGAAGTCTCTTCCACCTGTGGTCTGCCTTCCTGTTCTGCTTTTGTCGCCAGCCATTGTGTCGTGGAATTGTCGTCTGTCTTTCCTAGCACTCTTCTTCAGTTCTCTCTTTATTAAGTTCAGTGAACATTGAAATTAGCTCCTCCTTCTGTTGTCCATCTTTGCATTGAGTCATCACCATTCTCCTCCTTTCCATTCTATTAGCTTCCAGGTATGTGTCGAGAGCTGTTCCTTGTCGTGTCTCTTCCCTCTTCATAGAACAGTTAAACAGGTTTCAATCAATATCACCTTCAGAGAATTCCAATGTTCTTCCACGCAGGTTTCCTATGTGATACTATATAATGTCTTCAAATATGCTCTGATCTGGTCTGTAGTGAAGCCATCCCTTTAGTTTCTGAATTCTGAACTCGAATAAC